GGGATAGATACAGGATTTGAGATAAAGTGCTCTTTCATCTAAACTATGAAAATTATGGGGTCAGTTTGACTTCATCTTTTTCAAAACTAAAATTTTTAAAACGTCCTTCCGAAGCGGTCAATGGAATTTCAATTCCGATAACCGAAAACTTCTTACGCGCAACCCCCACACCAAAAATAATGTCGACACTACCACATGACCCATTTTGGTGTATCAGCCAATACTATCCACATCACGAGGATAGTGTCAGCCATCCTGAGAGAAGATTCAATTTGGCAAGACAATCATAAGAAGCTCAAGACTTGAGAACTCCATTGCATTGCTTTAACTCTGAAGAAAAAGCCTAATCTCCTTAGTATCTTTACTAGCGTGAATTTACCTCGATGAGGAATCTTTACAATGATATTGTAGTAATCATGATGACGATTCATTAACTACTGTTAGTGGAATAATTTTGTTAAGAGTGGAAATTCAAGAAATCTACTATTCAAATTGGCCTTCGATAAAATTTATCTATCAGTTAACTACCTAGTGGCAATGATCGACCCACTGCATGATTATTCTAGCAAATAAAAGGAAGCCCTATGAATATATTATTCTATCCACAACCTACGGAGAGGTTAACAAATAATTCACCATCACGTAAGACTTCTTTGTGGTTGATGCATCACCTACTTACAATGCGATCTTAGATCACTCATAGCCATGGTCTCCACCTACGACCTTACGATAAAATTTGCATAGAATGGAGAGATAGTCACAGTTCAGGGAAAATGAAGAAGTCTCATACATATTACCAACAGAAGGTTGATGGCATGGAACAAGTGTCATTTGATATCTAGAATTAATTAGAGGGGGTTTTGAAACTGATGAAACTACATTTGAGATTCTCGCTTGCCTTAGTGAACCTGGTAATTTTTTTCTAATCACTAAAAATTTTAATGCAAGGTATAAATAATTTTTTATCCAGACCCTCCAGGAGGGTCAAAACATTTTTTTTGGTTGGTCATTCAAATGTCAGACATCCCAATCAATATAAGATGCCACCGACTAATAATTAATTCATTCCCTCAACCAATAGTTTAAACGATGAGGTTGCCAGTTGGCTAGGTAGATCTAAGAAGAAGTACGGAAGCTCATGGAGGCGGGCTGCATCTGGGAGATATAAAACCCAACTTAGGTTTGTAATGTGGTCATTATCTTGAAATTGAATGGAAAATGAAGGATAGATATAGACTTTACAAACCAAAAATGTATCTGACTGAAGGAAGTCTTCCCCTATGAAGGATCAATGCTCTTGTGGATTCAACAATCAGTCATTTAGTAAGGAGCTTTGTGGCACTTTCTCTTGTTATCATTTGATTAGAATGCATCCAACTGACACATAAAAGACTACATTCATCACGAGCGAATGTATTTAGTGTTATAATGTATTTTCATTTGGGCTAAAGAATGTTTGGGCTACCTGCGAGCAATCAATGAATGTAATATTTTCAAATAAATATTGGATAAATATTGAAGTTTGTGTCGATAATATCCTAGGTAAAAGTCGGTCAGCTGAACAACATATAAATGGTCTAAAAAAATATTTTAAATGCTTAAAAATTATTACATGAAACTCAATCCACTGGAATGTACATTCAATGTTTTGGCCGGCAAATTTGTCGAATACATCCTAATAACTCAAGGAAGAAAGGCCAACTAGAAGAAAGTGCCAGTGCTTATGAATATGCCTTCTCCTCAAATTGCCAAGAAAGTGCTAAAGCAACCAGTCAGTTAGCAACACTCAGCCGATTCACCTTAAAGTCAGTGATAAATGTGCAATGTTCTACAAAGTACTATGAAAATCTAAGAGCTGTAATTGGTGAACGGAGTGTGAACAAGCATTCCAAAGCATAAGAAAATAACAAGCCTCACCATTGCTTCTACAAAGCCAATTTTTAAGGAAGAACTCTCTCTACATTTAAGAGTGGGCCTAAGGCCTCTATCTTGGTCTGAGAGGAGCTCAGAAAGCAATTCCAAATCTACTACACCGATTGGGTTCTCAGAGGCACTGAGGTCAAGTACCCTATCATGAAAAGCTAACATTTTCTCTAATTTTTATTGCTTACAGACACTAGTCATATTTTCAACCTCACCTTATTAGGGTCATCACTAACTAAATCCATGCTCACTCTGCTGTAATATTTTTATCAGATTCTAAAGTAATCCATGGAACTCAATAAATGCACATCACCTACATTCTCGAAATAGTGACTAAATCTCAAGTTGTAGTAGACTTTCTAACAGATTCTCTTAAAATAGTGAACCAAGCAAGATAATTACCTTAGTATTTAAACATAAATGTTACACATTAGTGGAGCCTTTAGTTAAGTGAGAAAAGAAGTCAAACTAGAACTAAGTAGTTCAATCGAGGAACATTATTATCATTTGGTTGTCATTGAGTTCAAATTGACTAACAACTTGACAGAATATTATGTGTTAATAGTTGATCTATGCCTAAATTTTGAGTTAGGAGTTTGACATCTTTTAGAAAAGTTAGATTCACAATTTTTGGTAAATCAAGTCAACCAATAATTCAAAGTTAGAGACAAAGTAATGGTTAACCACTTGAACAAGATAAAGGAGGAGATAAGGAAGTTTGCAAACATCAAAATCGAGCACAATGGTTAGGAAGAAAGTAATATTGCAAAATTTATTAAAAAAACACTTTCTTTAGAGAGGGCACATTGAAGAGGCTTCTCTGGCCAGCCATTATGGAACTAGAGGTGATGGAGGTAGAGCTTAAGAGCACCAAGAGTTGGATGGATCCTTACAACAAAAATCTAGAAATTGAAAAGATCCCTGAGTGAATAATGGATCTAAGGATTTTCAATTTTAAAGTCGTATAAAATCTCATGATTGAAGACAAAAACTTCTAAAGGTCAGGCACTTCACTACTCTCATGATGCATTAAGGAAAAAAAGGAGGAAGAAATCCTCTATAAAATTGCACTCTAGAGAATGTAGGAGTCAATCCAGAGAAAAGACCAATGCACATCATCTTCAGATGGAAGACTGCATTTGTCCAACCCTCATGAAAGAAGCATAGGTGTTTCTATGAGCTATGAGTAGTGCAAAAGTATGCTTCATTATAGTACCAACCGGTCCACATGTTCAGCTAATTGTCAGTCTCTGGTCTTTCATCATCTGTGGATTCGAGATCATCACGATGATTCTCCTTCAAAGTGCTAGCACAAATTACTTTTATTTTTTTT